ACTAATTTCAATTGCAAACTATATTATGATGAGGAAACATACGAGATCGTGGTTATGCCATGCAGGGGCACTTTCAACACGCAGCTCAAAGGCAAATACGGCTTCGTTGTTGCTTGCGAGGACATGAACAAACAGCCAGGAGGTGAGACCCTTCGTGCTTGACTTTTGCTTAGCGTATTGCTTGACCGGAGAGCACCAGCTTGTGAATGGCCTGGCGGAAAACAGCGACAACGATTCTTGCGTTGGACGAGGACGACATGCTCGAGGCCATCCAAACCCACATCAAAGAGAACAAGACCATGACGAAAACGGCGATAAAGGCGAACAGACGCAAAAGCCGATCACCACCAAATTGCATGACATGACCCAGGAAATGTTTGAGCTTTCTGCGTCCCTGAGGCCACAGGGCGCGCCCCACCGAGCAAGCGCAACAGCAACAGCAGCCTGCAGCCGACGCCGCCGTCCACAACGTCGTGAAGGACCATGTCATGGCGAAAAAAGCAACGCAAACCTCACGCAACAAGGCAGCGCAAAAGCAACAAGCCACGGGTCTGTTGGGCGTCCCCGTAAATCAGCCACACGTTCGAGAAGGGCAGACTTCTCTCCACAAGGTGGCTTTCCACAAGGTGGCCGCGATTACTTTCTCAGCGAGTATGATGTAGTGAGAATGGAGGGTCAGCTAAGCCAGACGCATGCCACGTGGCTTATGCGCAAAAAAGCAGCTGAACATTAAAGCCCGCAACCTTCCAGTCGGCATCCTGGGATAGCGAGCGTCCAATAGCGTTCCAAAGTCGCAGCAGCTTCTCAACTCCCACGTTGAAATCTTTGAGTTTCAACTAGCGCAACACTTCCACAGTGTCTCCAGCCAATGAATCTCTTTCTTTTTGTCCTTGCCACGCCCAATGTCCAAGAGCAAGTGGCCACCTGCCCGAGCATATTCTAAAGCACCTTTGCAGATCTTGTGAATAGTAGTGGCGAAAATATTCAGTTCTTTCATTATTAGATATTCAACTGATATTATTTCCAACAAATGTTTCATCTCTTCGATGTCATATTGGATGTCTTCCTCAGTTTCATGGACAGGGATGTCGTCATCTGTAATTGCTTTGTTGTCGTGACTTCAAACCTCCCTTCCAACCTTTGCCACTAACTTCATCTCCACCGTCCAGCTGAATGAACATAGCCTCAACGATCTTGTCCCAATCGCATTCATTCCGCCTGCGGTGACCCGATGTTGATTCGGGTTCACCGCAGTAATTGGCAACAGGAAGAAGGCCTGGAGGTTCGTGGACATTTTCGTGTGGCCTTGTGTCAGACCTGTCAACTTCTCATACTCACTCTCACGACGGCTGATGTAGTCCTGGATGCCAGGAGCTTTTGAGCAACGATCTCAGGCTTCGTGTAGCATAGTGTCCACGCCCGGCCATGAAGGGCGTTCTTCAGTTTTGCAGCAAAATTGATCTTCTTGCCCTTCTAGATTGTTGAGACACCCCACCAAACACGTTCTTTATATTCCTCTGCCAGCTTAGGCTTCCATCATAGTGCCCAACGTGGGCTTTGGGTCAACATACAATGATTGTCCACTTTGTGAATGCATCCTCAAACTTCAAAATCTTGCAATGTAAATTGCGAGCTATCAAAATCTGCAATAAATGCTCAAGGCAACTACCAAAGTGCAATGCACCACCAAAGTTCGAGAACGAATGAAACATGAAAATGATCCAAGAACAACTCCGGCCAGTCACAACTGAACAGCGCAAGCTCTGTACGGCAACGCAATGTCCAACCCACACGCAGCCCCAAGAAGGGGTCACAGTTCGGCAACGAACAATGACGCACCTACATGGAGCTCTTTGGCTCCGCTACCAATGTTAAGAACGCGAGCTAGCTGCTGCAGGAACTCTTTTGTTCGCTCGGGCTGAAAGCTCAAGGCCTCAAAAGGTTAAGCCGGGGTTCGAACTCGTGACAAGCCGCAAGTGGACTCCAATCTGCATGAGAACGCAGATTGCACGCAGGGAGGGCCCTCAACTCTTATTTCTAAAAAATCGCTATTGCCCATTACAATTTGGCCGCAGCACCTTGGCGGCCTGCTCTTTTCGCCCTGTCCTCGGTCGGGCAACCGTGGGCTTTCACCCGCATGCAGAGCGCAATTGGCGCCAGTCAGTGGCTGCGAGGACGCGGAGGAAAGGGCACGTCTGGAGAGGAGCCGCGGATGTCGTTCACCCACAGAAAGAAGAGGATCAAGATGGGCGCGGCCTTGTCTTCGTCGTTGCAGCTGCCTGCGCCGAACTTTTAGGTTCTATATCTGGCCCGCACGCTTTTGAAGTGATGGGCCCCCCGCCTTGAGCGCCATAGATTACGGGCACGTACGGCCGCGCCTGCGGCGCGATGACCCAATCGCGTCGATGAACTTGCGCGTGCTCGCCGTGACCGAAAGGCAGCCAATCCGGCCCACCTTCTTCGCGGATGTGGTAATGCACACCTGGAAACAAGCGTTGTCGCCTGCCTGCTGCTGCCAAGCCTTCAATGGTCAATCTTGCGTGGTAGCTGTCAGGGTCTTTCTCGTGGGGTTCGTGGCCGGCCACAGTTTCAGGGTGCTTGGCCAATGCAAAGTCGAAATCCCGGATGAACTTATACGCAGATAGCAGGTGGACCTGGCGAAGAGATCAAACTGATGAAAGGAAAGCTACGAAAGAAAATGCAAAGGATGGTCGAGGAGGTCAAAGAGCACGGAAGAGCGCATTGGAAGGAGCTTCGAAAAGGTGCGAAGTCGCGTGTGAAAAGAATACTTGTGAAATCTTGTGAAAAGGTTTTAGGATATTGGACAAAGGACAATGAAACAATAATTTTTCTTGTGGACGACCCGAGACCTCCTATTTGGGGACAATTCTTTAAAAAGGAAGATTCGATCGTCAAGTCGTGCTGGAAGAAATTAGAATTGAACAACCAAGCCTACAATCATAATGGACTTCAATTGTGATCCATGGATTCCACTCATCAATTTCTTGGATGAAGAGGTGCATATAATGCAGCAAGAGGTGGCATTGGCATACCTTGCATTCCAAAGGTTGAAAGGGAAGTCATTGAAAACACATGTGAATTTCAAAACCCAAGCCAACTCGCGATCGATCCATGTTCACACCTCAGGATCCTTCCACGTAGGTGAGGTACCCGAGGTTATGTAAAAGAGACCCACTAAAAGACGAAAACGTGCTGCCCACCAAAAACATAACCGGTCTAAAACACGGCTAGGTTTCCAGGTGAATCATCACTTGAGAAGAGGGAGACACGAAAGGTAGGACAGCGGGAAGAGAATAGAAGTACGACCCGACGTGCTAACTTACCCCATCGCACATGAACTTGACCCACCCCCATGGCACACCGCTTACCCCACGAATGTAAAAACTTACCCCATGCAGTTTGGTGTTGGTGGAGTCGAGTCAAAGGTAAACGTGAAAAAAGGTGAAAGCGTGAGATATATATGTATTAATCTATAATTATATGATAGTCGTCAACGAGAAAAGGAATGAAAAACAACATCTAGCAAAACCTACTGTTGTCATGTCTCTGCATGGACGTGAATACGACCTCAAGGTTCGAGTGATCAACACCCTTTTTCGCACCTGTTGCTGAAGCGGTTGCGTTGAAATTCTTGAAAAACAACTAGCATCCCCAGATTGGAGCTGTCGCAGTGGAGGTGCCGCGCGAACCCATATCCGAGCCGCCGTTGATCCGAGCTTTTGTTAACTCACGATCCACGTTGCCGACGTGCTCACACACCAAATAGCCATCGAGGTGATCCATTTCGGGCTGAAGCGGTGGGGGGGGGGATACGAGGGAATATTCAATCTATAACCATCTAATTAAATATTAATAACATGTTTTACATAAATATCTATTATAGTTTATTTTTGAATTTGGACGCACACAAATCTAGGTATCAATTTAATATTGAATCTATTATATATATTTTACTTAATTCGAGACTTGGCAACTTCAGGTATCAATTTCATATTCAATGTATTTAATTCATTTAATTAATTAACAAAATAAACTATGCGTCCTTCTATTTAATTCGAATCTTGGCAAATCCAGATATTAGTTTAATATTTAGTTTGTCTATTTAAACTAAAGATGCGTTTCTAGTAAGAATATTTTATTGTTCTATTCATTTACTTCCCCATGGGTCCAAATACCTCCTCAGAAGGTATTTGGAGACTATTTATGTAGGCAGGGGAGGGTCCAAGTACCTTCTGAGAAGGTATGTGGATCCATAGGGATTAATTGAATATATTAAGTAAAATAAATATTATGTTTATTTAAACATATATTCAATTTAATCAATTTATTATAAATTGATTAAATAAGGACTATAAAATAGACTAAATAAATTAAATATTGAATTAATTTAGATAAATAACATTAAATAAATATATTTAATACGAATACACATTTGATAATATTTGTTATTTCAATGAATCAAATAACTAGATTTTTACTAAAATTAAATATTAAGTTGTAATATTAAAAAAAAATTAAACAATAAACAATACAATAAGTCAAATATGTTTAATAAAACGTATTTAATAAACAAACAATTTATAAAATATAAACTATAAATTATAAATTTAATTTCAATATCTAAAATAGAAAAATCATAATTAATTCAATCAACATGAATTATACTACATATATATGGTTTCATTTATGTTTACTATGATATGTTCAAAAATTGTATATATATAAATATATCCAATATATCAATATATATAGGATTCTTAATTATTCTATATTCTTTTCAATCCTTCTTTGAGGTATCATTTAATTTACAGTACTTTAATTTGCGTTCTTTGTTGTTCAGCTGTACAACACCGCAAGTCCCATCAGCAAGCTGCATCCAATGTTGGTGGCATAGGCCAATGATGAGAAATCTGTCGGATGTCCTTGTTCAACCTGAAACATCCATAGTCCAAAGCTGAAGGGATTAAATACAAAAAAACACACCCCTCCCCTAATCCTAATCGAAAGTACCCAGGATTTCTATGGAACAAAAGGCCGAACAACACCATGTTGTTCTGCTTTTCAATCTAGCCTCAGTTCTGGGTTGCTTCATACATCTTCATACATAATTACCTGGAAGCCACGCGACCCTTCCAACAACACCTTCCAACGATCCGGCTCATGGATTTCCATGCCTGAACCAACAAACTTTGGAGTGACGGTGTGTGATGTGCGGTGGTTGTTTCTAGTCAATTGCCAGTCGTGCCTTCGACCCGAGAGATGGAGGTATACCAAGAGCTGAGGAGGTGAATTTTGGACGCAAATGAGAGCAGTCAACTCTGAGAGAAGTGTCTCCTCCTAACAGCTCCAACTCCAACCCCTTCCTCCAGGTAGGCAAAAGATCAGCCAAGCGTGGATTGCCCTCCCAAACCCCAGAAACCTTCTCAGGAAGTCAATGCACCATGGCCGAAACAGTGATGGGATGTGATATGATATGACGGAATGTGATGTGATGGGAATGGGACACTTACAACCCTCCTTTGTGCACGCCAAGCGTCGCAGGTCGCTTTCATGGAGGTCAGGTTAGCTGTAACCTGTCCGAAGTTCATTCCTCCTGCATCAGCTCGTGTTGTTGACCTAAAGCGGGAGTATCCCCTCTTTTGAAGAATGAACTATGTCCAAAACACTGTCTTTTAATGCCGTTCAAGGCTTTTTGAACTTGAGCCCTCCGCCCCTGCACCTTTTGCCGTGCTCTTCAAAACCCAACAGCCCTCTTGCGAAAGAAAAACACGCGCCCGCCGGCGCGGTTTTGAGTGACTCCGGAGCAGAGGTCCAAGCAACTGAGACTCAAGGTTCTCCAGACATTGACCAGTACATCTGTCTTCCGGGTACTTCTCACTTCCATGCATCCGGTCTTCATTTGCCAAACCCAACGGCGGTCTTCTCCGAAAAAACACGGGCGTCTTGGTCTCTCCGTTGCGCGACACGGGTCGGGTGTCGTCTTCGGTTCGCGGGCAGTCCGTCTGCTGCGTCGGCCATGATGGGCTCACAGGCAGAGGTGCGAACGACCTGAAGAGCCGTCGCGCGTCGTCGCGGCGACGAACAAGATGCCGCCGCCGTGGGATGCTTCTGAAATGTTCTGAACATCGAAGTGGTTGATTTCAGGGATGTATTGGGATCCATTGGGTCAACTTTTCGCTTTTGATTCCAGTCCCATGGGTTGTGTGGTGGGCTATGCTGGCATCAATTTTCGATGTCCGTGCGGCGCATTCCAGTTCAGCGGTCCAAGCGCACTGCATCCGTTCCTTGGATTGGCTGTCCAGGAAGCCGGGAAAGCCGCAAAACCGCTTCATTGAGCAAGTGCCAACGACGAACTGTTTGCCAAGAAATGTGTTCACACATATCTGTTTCTCCTACTCCCGGAGAAGGGGCATCACCCAGGGGAAAGAGTAAAAGTACACAATCCTGTAAGCAAATCCGCCAGGTATCCCACTCGCCCTCTTTCGCGGTGGTATTTTGCCCCGAAGCAACCATCTCAATAGCCTCCGTGAGTATTTGCAGTGACCTCAACTGGTCGACGTTGGAAGATTGAAAGCGGGTGAAAGCGGGGTACTGGAGGTGTTCATTCGGATACTTTGGGTACTTTGGTACCTTCAACGTTCCCCAACAATGAAAGACCTGTGGCTGTTCTAGGGATTTAGGGTCGAGATATTCCAAAGCAAGAACGGTTTCAAGAATGGGCCTTGCGAGTATGTTTGAATCCTTTGGAGCACCCTCAAAACTTTGGAGACCTCAACCGACACAGTGGCATTGGTGTTGAAATTGTGGACAGCACGATGGTATAAGCACACATGGTGGGGGTCGGTTGGGTCGGTTTTTGAGGCTTACATTAAATGCTTTTGGCAGGTTGGAGCTGAATAATGGGTTTCAAAGGGACACA